GAGGTGGGTGAGCAGGAGGAGTTTGCAGGTCACGGGGTGGGGTGAGCAGGAGGGAGTATGGGTCATGGGGGTGGGGTGAATGGGAAGAGTTTGGGTCATGGAGGTGGGGTGAATGGGGGGAGTTTGGGTCATGGGGTGGGGTGAATGGGAGGAGTTTGGGTCATGGAGGTGAGAGGTGAATGGGGAGTTTGGGTCATGGGGGTAAGGGTGAATGGGAGGAGTTTGGGTCATGGAGGTGGGGTGAATGGGAGGAGTTTGGGTCATGGAGGTGGGGTGAATGGGGGAGTTTGGGTCATGGAGGTGGGGTGAATGGGGAAGAGTTTGGGTCATGGAGGTGGGGTGAATGGGGAGTTTGGGTCATGGAGGTGGGGTGAATCGGGAGGAGTATGGGTCATGGAGGTGGGTGAGCAGGGAGGATTTGGAGTCACGGGGTGGGATGAGCGGGAGGTATGGGTCATGGGGGTGGGGTGAATGGGAGGATTTGGGGTCATGGAGGTGCAGGGTGAATGGGGAGTTGGGGTCTTGAGGGTGGGGGTAGATGGGAGGAGTTTGGGTCATGGGGGTGGGTGAATGGGAGGGTATAGGTCATGGAGGTGGGTGAAATGGGAGGTTTGGGTCATGGAGAGTGAGGTGAATGGGGAGTTTGGGTCATGGGGTGGGTGAATAGGGGAGTTTGGGTCATGGAGGTGGGGTGAATGGGGAGGTTGGGGTCATGGAGGTGGGGTGAATGGGGAGTTTGGGTCATGGGGGGGGAGGGTGAATGGGAGGAGTTTGGAGTCATGGGGGGTGGGTGAATGGGAGGTATGGGTCATGGGGAGCTGGGTGAATGGGAGGAGTATGGGTTATGGAGGGGTGGGTGAATGGGAGGGTATGGGTCATGGAGGTGGGTAGATGGGAGTTTGGGTCATGGAGAGTGAGGTGAATGGGGGAGTTTGGGTCATGGGGGTGGGGTGAATGGGAGGAGTTTGGGTCATGGAGGTGGGGTGAATGGGAGGAGTTGGGGTCATGGAGGTGGGGTGAATGGGAGTTTGGGTCATGAGGGTGGGGTGAATGGGAGGAGTTGAATTCATGGGGTGGGTGAATGGGAGGTATGGGTCATGGAGGTGGGTGAATGGGAGGGAGTATGGGTTATGGAGGGTAAGGTGAATGGGGAGGAGTTTGGGTCATGGAGGTGGGTGAATGGGAGGAGTTTGGGTCATGGAGGTGGGGTGAATGGGAGGAGGTTGGGTCATGGAGGTGGGGTGAATGGGAAGAGTATGGGTCGTGGAGGTGGGTGAACGGGAGGAGTTTGGAGTCACAGAGGGTGGGAGTGAGGCAGGAGGGTATGGAGTCATGGGGAGTGCAGGAGTGAATGGGAGGAGTTTGGGTCATGGAGGTGGGGTGAATGGGGAAGTTTGGGTCATGGGGGTGGGGTGAATGGGAGAATTATGGGTCATGGGGTGGGGTGAATGGGGGGAGTTTGGGTCATGGGGTGGGGTGAATGGGAGGAGTTTGGGTCATGGAGGTGGGGTGAATGGGGAGTTTGGGTCATGGGGGTGGGGTAGATAGGAGGAGTTTGGGTCATGGGGGTGGGTGAATGGGAGAGTATGGGTCATGGAGGGTGGGTGAATGGGGAGGAGTTTGCAGGTCATGGAGGTGAGGTGAATGGGGTTGGGTCATGGGGGTGGGGTGAATGGGGGGAGTTTGGGTCATGGAGGTGGGGTGAATGGGAGGGGTTGGGGTCATGGAGGTGGGGTGAATGGGAGGAGTTTGGGTCATGGAGGTGGGGTGAATGGGAGGGGTATGGGTCATGGAGGTGGGTGAATGGGAGGAGTTTGGGTCATGGGGTGGGGTGAATGGGAGGAGTTTGGGTCTTGGAGGTGGGAGTGAATAGGAGTTTGGGTCACGGAGGTGGGGTGAATGGGAGGAGTTTGGGTCATGGAGGTGGGGTGAATCGGAGGAGTATGGGTCATGGAGGTGGGTGAATGGGGGCAGTTTGGGTCATGGAGGTGGGGTGAATGGGAGGAGTTTGAGTCATGGAGGTTGAGTGAATGGGGGAGTTTGGGTCATGGAGGTGGGGTGAATGGGAGTTTGGAGTGAGGTAGGTGGGGTGAATGGGAGGAGTATGGCTCAAGGAGGTGGTGGGGTGAATGGGAGGAGTTTGGGTCGTGGAGGTGGGGTGAATAGGAGGAGTATGGCTCAAGGAGGTAGATCCCTCATGAACAGATTAAGGCCCTCCCTTGGAGTGAATTCTTGCTTGACTAATTCCCTCTAGAAATGGTTGTTAAAGATCCTGGCATCTGGCTCCCCACTCACTTCCTCTCTCACTACGTTATCTCTGCACAGTGACTCCCCTTCCCCTTCCTCCATGAATGGAAGCAGCCTGTGGCCCTCACCAGATGCAGATGCCCAACTGTGAACTTCTCCAGACAACAGAATCATGAGCTAAAGAAAGCTTTTTTCTTGGTAAATTACCCAGGCTCGGGTATCACTTTCTAGCAATACAGCAGGGACCAAGACAGTCAGTTTGCCTATGCGGAACAGCGTGTCAACAGTCACCTGTGCACTCGATAAAAAAGCACATTCTAAGGCTCCAGCCCATGCCTACTGAATCAGAAACTCTGAGGGGGCCCAGCAATCTCTGTGCCCACATGACCTTCAGCTGACTCTGATGTGCGCCCAAGTTTGAGAACGATGGCCTAGTTTCCCCGTGTACTCAGCTACCCTATGTGGTTAATACAGGCTGAGGGTACCTTATCTGAAAGTGTTTCAGGCTTTGGATTTTCAGACTAGGGATGCTCAACCTGTAATTACTACTAATAATAGTAAATGCTTGTTTGGCTCTTGCTATGTGCCAAGGGCTCTGCTAAGTGCTTTGACATGGAGTGTCTTCCTTATTCTCAAAGCATTTGATGAGGCTGCTAAAGTTCCCATTTTACAGGCAAGAGAACAGGCGCAGAAAGGTTGGGTGACTGTTTATGGTCGCACAGCCTCAGGCGTGTGCCTGCTTTTCCACAGTGGTTGCAATGATGACAGGGAGGCATGGCAACATTTTACATAATTTTTAAAAAATTTATTCCCAGAAAGCCTTGCAATCTCAAGGATTTTTTCTTAAAAATGGCAGTTGACCAGAAAATGTAATTGAAGGGAACTGGCCCATTCTCAGGGCATCTGGATAATTCAGGCTTTCCTGTGGTCTAGGTGGCCAAGCCAGATGCCTGCAGGTCCCGGCAGGAGACATAACACAGCGAGGTGGTGCCAGGGAGGACTGTGGTGAGCTGGAGAGTGTATGCCCAGTCCAAGGGGAGCAATGGCTGGCTCCACAGCTCTAGCGAGAGGGAGGTGTTGCCATGGGAGGATGTGGGTGTCTTTTACCTCATTTTATCAGAAAAAAACCCCCAGAAATCTGAGTGTTATATGAACTCTCCCAAGTTTAAAAATCTCTCAATATTAAACTCTCTGAATTCTATTTTTCAGGCACCATGCAGGCTGAACAAAGGATATCTGGGGCAAAACCTGGGCCATGGGCTGCCCATTGCTACCTCTGGGCAGCCCTCCTTGATGGTGTGGAGTCCGCAGTCTGCATTGGTTAACTTACCTGTGCTTCCTCAGATCCAGTCTGGAATTAATTATTGAATTGTATGCAGTTTCAATGCCATCCTCAAGCTAACAGCCAACTATGCGGGGGAATAAAAGGGAGCAGATAATTGAGTTGGGTTCCAGAGACCCCAGATCGTCTTCACTGCAGTTGCCAGGTTCCCTGCAGCCCAGGTCTGCAGATGTCTTGTGGCTCAACGCCTGCAGCTCGCCCGGCGGCGTGGAAGAGGCGTTGCGCGCGCCCTCTAGTGGAGAGAGGAGGTCACTGCCGAACGCCAGCTACGGACTGTGGAGAGTTCCTTGGGCCTTGGCTCCTGCCGGGAGCAGCCCTGGGGCCGGGATCCAGGATGCAGAGGCGGGAAAATGAACTGCCCGGCCACCAGGAAGACGGTCCACCCTCTGCCAGTCGAGAACTACTCAAACTATTGGCAATGTCAACAACAATAATTATAACAATCGTGTTAATAATGAGTAGCATGACAAATATGGGAATATTTAGCAGTTTGTGATTTTCAGCTCACAAGGTTTCACCTACTGTGTAGATTACTTGGGGCTCTGCAGGCCAATAGGCCATGCATAAATGGATAGAAAGATGTTTGTTATGAGAGACTGGCTCACACGATTGCAGATACTGTGAAGTCCCACGACCCGCTGTTTGCAAGTGGAGGATCAGGGAAGCCAGTGGAGTAGGTCAGTCCAAGCCGAAAGGCCGAGAACCAGAGGAGCCGATGTCTGGGGGCAGGAGAAGGTGGACGGCCCAGCTCAAGCAGAGACAGTGGCGTTCACCCTTCCTCTGCCTTTTGTTCTCTTCAGGCCCTCAGCAGACTGCAGGACGCCTGGCTGGCACACTAGGGAGGGCGATCTTGACTCAGCCCACGGATCCACCTGCTAACTCCTTCCAGAAACACCCTCACAGATACACCTAGAAATAATGTGGGTTTTATTATTATTATTATTATTTTACTTTTAATTGCATATATTTTAATGCTGGATGTATTCCCACATTGCCAGCTCCTGAGCATCCCTGAGCCCAATCAAGTTGACACATAAAATTAACCATCACGCCGTGTCCGTTCAATCATTAAAAATATGCAACATTCGGCCGGGCGCGGTGGATCACGACTGTAATCCCAGCACTTTGGGAGGCCAAGGCAGGCGGGTCACAAAGTCAGGAGTTCAAGACCAGCCTGGCCAACATGGTGAAACGCTGTCTCTACTAAAAATACAAAAAATTAGCTGGTCATGGTGGTGCGCACCTGTAATCCCAGCTACTCAGGAGGCTGAGGCAGGAGAATCGCTTGAACCTGCGAGGCAGAGGTTGCAGTTAGCAGAGATCACGCCATTTCTGTCCAGCCTGGGAGACAGTGCAAGACCCTGTCTTGAGAAAAAACAAACAAACAGACAGACAAAAAAACATGCAACACTCTAGTAACACATGAATGTATTCTCACGGAACAAGATTCAAACAGAATGAATGAACATATTGCAAATGCTTTTAAGTGTTTTTGAAAACTTTCATTTTGAAACCATTTCAAACTTAGTTGAAAAGTTGCAAGGATGGCACAAAAACTTTCTACTAATATATACCTTTTAGCAGGATTCCTCGGTTGTTAATAATTTGCCACATTTGCTTTATAATTTTTGCTCTGTGTCTAAATACATACTTTTAAGATCTGAGCCATTTGAAGTATAATGCCCCTTTATAATAGTTTCATGGATCTTTCCTAAAAACAAGTCATTATCTTCCATAACCCAGTACAGTTGTTCAAATCAGGAAAATTAACATGGATGCAGTAGTATTCTCTCCTCTGCAGACCGTATTCAGATTTCGCCACCTGTCTCAATAATACCATCCTTTTTAGCACTTTTTGGCTGATTCCCACTACAAACTGTGAAAGCACAAGTGTCTTTCCTCTGCCTTGCCCAGAGGTTCCTCTTCGAAACCTGGGAGGTGTCTTCGAAAGGGTCTGTCTTTCATTTTTCTCAATGCAAGCACGTTCCCCACTTCTCAATTTGCCTTGGGAGCTCTTATTTCAACATCTTCTCAATCCTTCGAAGCAGGACTCCTCCCTAGCCATATTCTACACAGAAGGAAACAGAACTCAGCGTGAGGACGGCTCCTGCCCTGTGACCTCAGGTCCCCCAGCCACCTTGCTAAAGGTTGAACAGTGCCCGCAGCCCCTACCCTGATACATTTCAGCAAATTTATATGCAAGGCCCCTTTCCAGGCCCTGGGAACGTGAAGAAGAAGTTGCTGGTGGCTGTGCTCAAAGACTTCCCAGGCTAGTGCAAGGGACGGGAGAGGGTGGCCCCGCTGGAATCTCAGTGAGGAGTCCTGCGGAGGGATGCGGTTCAAACCGTCAAGTCCTCTGGTGACCTATGGGTGTGGGGGCCGGACCAGAGGGCCTTAAGGGGTAGCCCTGCAGGCCTCAGCCCCATCCCTGGTGGAAGTGTTGGCTGAGGTCTCTGGAGTTGAGTGGGGTGGCGGAACTGGGGACTTGGATGCCAGGAGAGGGGGATGGGCAGGAGGGGTGTTCAGGAAAGGCGTGCAGGGAGGGCGGAAGAGCCGCTGTGTGAGTTTACCCCAGCTCCTTGAGCAGCTGTAGGCCTCCTGCCCAGTCCCCATGCTGGGACTGGGAGAGCAGAGCATGCAGAAAAGGCTGTACAGCCTGCAGCCTCGGCCAGCATGTGATAGGGGAGCTCTGGGCAGGGACAAAGCTGCAGTCCCTGTCCCTGAATGTCAGAGGGGCGAGGGAGATAGGAGAAAATGGGGCAGAGAGAAAAGAAAGCGGTGGCGTGCACACCCCCAGGCCCTTTGCTCCACTCTCCATGCTATATGAGACACTTCCCAAATGTCACGCTCCCTGGGACCCTAAGGATGGGGGCTGTATCAGAGGAATTAATTCAGTCACAGGAGGACAGGAGTCCAGCTCCGACTCAGTCCCAGTGGAGCATCATAGAAAATCAACCACCAGTGTCCGAGGAGCCCACTTTGGTGTCCGGCGGGTCACCAGAAGGAGTTTACTAGATTCCTGAAAATCATAAGTGAGCATCCCTGCTTTGTGGAATTTCAGTTGGTGAGTGACAACGCCAGCTATGCAATTTGTCCTTCAACGTTTCATTTATGCCACACCGCGTGCTGGGCTCTCTGCAGGTGCTGGTGAAACAGACGTGAAAAGGCACAACCCCTGCCTCGGGCTCTGGTGGGAAGACCAACAGGTAAACTGCAGGTCTGACACAGAATGACAGGTGCCACTTGGAGTGAGTACAGGTGGCAGAAACCCAGAGGGGACCGCCTGCCCAGCCTAGGATTGGGAAAGGCATCTGATTAGTTTCTCATGGCTGTTGTAACAGATGACCACAACCTTAGTGGCTTAAAGCAACAAGAATGTATTCTCTTACCACACTGAAGGTGGGCAGTGTGAAATCAGTTTCCCTGGCTATAGGTGTCATCTGAGCCGGTCTCTTCCGGAGGCTCCAGGGCAGAGTCCGCTTCCTGGCCCTGCTCAGCTTTGGGAGGCTGCCTGCATTCCTTGCCTGCAGCCCCCTTTTCCAACATCACACGGCCTTCCCTACTGTACTCAAATGCCCCTCAGCCTCCCTCGTTAAGGACACTTGTGATGACATTTAAGGCCCATCTGGATCATCCAGGACAATCTCGCCATCTCCACATCCTTACCCACACCTGCAAAGTTCCTTTTGTCACAGAAGGTAGCATTCCTGGGTTCCAGGGATTGGGACGTGGACATCTTTGTGGTGGGCATTACTCGGCCTGCACAGCTGCCTAGAGCAGACGGCTCTGGGGCGGCAGGCCGGAAGAGTGAGGGTGCTCCTAGGTGAGGGCCTTGGTGGGGCGGCAAAGGCAGGTAGGGGAAAGCCTGGCATAGTCAGGGAAGGACAGATGAGCAGGAAAGGCTGGCATAGGCCAGATCCCATAGGGCCTTGAAAGCTCAGCTTGGTCCGGAAGGAAGTGGGTCTTGCCTGAAACCTAAACATTGAGTGAAGGCTGTTGTCTCAGCCAGGGCCCCAGCAGGACACAGATGACACACTCAGATGGGTAACTGAAGTGCAGGCTGATAAAGACGCTGTCTGCAAAGGGGTGGATGGGGTTAAGGAAGCCAACAGGGCATGGAGCATGCCTGGGACTGACACAGCTGTGAGGTGCTACTGCCTCTTTGGGGAGCCGTGTCTACCCCTAGCCCCGGAGAGAGGCGGCCAGGGAACGGCTATGAGAACCCAGAGAGGGTGGCTGTGTGGAGAAGGCGCATACGAGTCTGCAGTAAAGGGACGCAGCCTACCTGTGGCAACCTGGCAGGGAAGGAGCGGGGGTAACAGATGTCCAAGTCCATTCTTCTGCCCTCTGAGGGCCCGCCCATGCTTCTGTTGGCCAAATCGCACTTGAAGACAGAGAGCAAGAGTGATTGTCCATATGGCATGGCTGGGTGGGCACAGCAGGGAGAAGAAAGATGGGGTGGGGACAGAGAAACCCAGCACAGGTGTCACATGGGCAGTGGCACCGCCAGATCATTGTGGAGAAAGATCACAGTGGCCATGATGTGGAGGGTGGACCCGCGTGGGACAGAGGAGGACGTGGGGAGGTCAGGGCATTCCAAGTGATATAAAAAGCGCATTAAAAAAATGCATTGCCGTAGTTAGTGGTCCATTGACTCGAACAGGTATCTGGGATTGTTCTTCTCCCAGCTTTGTCTGGTAAGGTGGAGTTCATCCCAAAGTTGCTGTTATATATCACACCGAATGTCTCCCTTGCAAAGGTGCAGCGCCAGTGGAAGGCCTCAGGCAGGCTTGGTTGCAAACAACAGAAACCACTTGTATTGAGTTTAAGCAGAAATGGGATTTATCACTGGCTACTTGAATGACCTGGGAACTGGGCTCTGGAATATGGCCCAAATGTGCCACCCACGGCAGAGCAGCTCCAGGAAACAACACTGCAGCCTGCCCTGAGCAGGGCAACCACAGAGGGGCTTCCAATGATACCCTGGAGCCTCTGCTGCCTCCCCACCGGGGTGGATTCCATGGGACCTTGCTTCGTCCTGGAGCCCCTGGTTCTGAATCTGAGTCTGGTGCGGGTACATCTATCTGGTGAGTTTGGTCACATGCCTGCACCCTCCTTTCTGAGAAATAAGAGTTTCTGGCTCCTCTAGACAGTCAGGGACTCAGGAGGCAGGAGCTCCCCAAAGAAAAGAAGATGTTCGGAGCCCTGGACAAGAAGAAAGCAGGATGAATGTTCATTACAGGTAAATGAGGTAAATTACTTTAAAGTTCAGACGGTCAGGTACCCCCAGGAGAGATGGTGTGCGTGTGTCATGCATGTGAGTGGCATGCATGTGAGTGGCATGTGTGTATCATGCATGTGAGTGGTTTCATCCTTAGGAAGAAAAACATGGGAGGAACCTGCAGTGTGCAGCCTCTGTCCAGACCCACCTGCTGAAGGGCACAGGCACCCCAAAGTATCCCTGTGATCTGGTCCAGGGAGCATTCTGACTGTTTTTTCAGATTGGCCTCTGTGCAACCTGACTTCCCATGGGCAGGGCAGAGTGCTGGGAGCATTGATGCAATTATTCCCTTGAGCACTCTTCACTCCCCTCTCTCTCCAGAAAGGTACTGAACGTCTAACTGCTCTATACTCTGGGAGGAACATGAACATGATTCCACCTCAGTTCCAAGCTTTCTGAGACCCATCCTGGGAACCAGCAAGCATGCCAATACTCCACCTTCTGCATCAGTCACTTCCGAGGGGGTCAGTGGGCACGGTTCATGCTGCTGAGTGAGATGTTGCCCAGAGGCCACGGGCAGGGCTGCATTTTCTGATTCTTTTGTATCTGTAGCAAGATACTGTTAGTGGAAGAGCCCAATACCTGGGTTTGCCTAAGAATCTCCTTAGCTAGATCATTCCATTTATGAGCTTTCCATCTTGCTGCAGTGTTGCTTAATTTCTGCCTCTCCATAACAAGAATCACCTTTCTTGAAAGTGAGAATGCTTTGTTCTCACTTTCCTATAAACCCTCACCAACATCCTCCTCCCACTACTGGCCTCTCCAATGCACTTTAGGCTTTCTCTGACACTTTCTTCAAAGTCGTTTCAGCTTCTGCCCTCTGCTCAGTTCCAAAGACACTCCCACATTGGTAGGTTTATGTTCCATCCGCACCCCACTTCTGGTACTAAACTTTGTATCAGCTATCTACTGTTACATCACAGCCAAAACCTAGTGACTAAAAACAGACACAAACATGCATTATCTTTCACAGTCTCTGTGAGTTGGGAATTCAGGAACAGCTTAGCTGGGTGCTCTGGATCCAGGTCTTTCATGAGGTTGCAGTCTAGATATGAGCTGGGACAGTGGTCATCTGAAGGCTGGAGGATCCACTTCCGAGGTGACTGACTCAGATGGTTGGCAAGTTGGTGCTGGCTGCAGCAAAGGCCTTGTTTTCTCTCCACGTGGGCCTCTCCACAAGGCTACTTGAGCAGCCTCACAACATGGTAGCTGGCTTCCCCAGGGCAAGTGATTCAAGAGCAAAGGTGGAAGTCACAGTGCCCTTATGACTTAGCCTTGGATGTGACACACCGTCACTTCTGCAGTGTTCTACTGGTAACACTGACCAGCTCTGATTCCGTTTCAGAAAAGAGGACACGAAAGCATGAATAACAGGAGGTAAGGTTCATTGAAGACCTGGTAGCTCTCTACCTCCAATAGTCAAAAGAAAAAATTAGGTATAAATATATGTATATGTGTGTGTGTATATATATGTGCACACATACATATATACATATATATGTATAATTTTACAAATATATATTTATTATAAAAGTAATTCATGTTATTTGTGAAATTTTAAAAAAATTTAGAGTAGCAAAAACAAGACAGTCAAGACTACCCCATAGTAGCCCCATTCAGAGAAAAATCATTATCAACATTTTGGGGCATATCTTATCAGTCTGAACTTTAAACATTTTTACAAAAGTGGAATAATACTGGACAAAATCTTTCATGCTATCAATTTTTTCATTTACTAGTACAGTCAAAAACGCAGTTTTATTGCATCTTTTTTAACGGTAACATTATATTCCTGCCAATGATTAAGATGTAATTGATTTTTCCAGTGCCCTATTGCTGGACATGTAAAAGTTCTCAAATTGTTACATCATTAACAAAACTGGAATGACCATCTTTGGAGCTAACTTGCTATCTATATCCCTGATCTTTCCTTAGGATGGATATAGAATACCAGCATCAGCAAGTGTACACGATTTAAAGCACATTTGGTATCTATTATCAAGCTGCCCTTCAGAGAGGTTGTCTCTGTTACACGTTCCACAGCTGTGACTGAGAAAGCCTGTTGTCACATTTGACAATCCAGGTTACTATCATTAAAACTTGAGTTTGTAAGAGCAACACACCATGACATAATATTTGTAGCCAATGTAACTGACAAAAGACTAACATCCCATAATATTAGAGCACCTACAAACCAAGAAGATAAACATCCCTTTGGGAAAGTGCAAAAATATGAACATAAAGTTTACAGGAGAAAAAACACAAATGGCTCATAAACATACAGAAAGATGATTTTGTTTCCCTGCAATTGGGGAAATGCAAACAAAAACTACAATGAAATGTCGTGGTATTGTGTATCAAATTTGCAGAGCATAAAATAGATTACATTCACAACCAGCAAGTACAACCCAACCTTCAACCTCACTAGACTTCTTGCCATTCCCCAAACCATATCCCTGCTCCTCTCCACAGTCTGTTCCTTCTGCCTGCATGCCCTTGATGGCACCAAGGAGGATGGGCACTCTAACACAACTGCTGGGAATGGGAATGTTTCAACCTCTTGGGAATAAAATCTAACAGTATTTGTTGGAATGTAACCTGTGCATACTCCACAGCTGGGCCGCTACCCTGCAAGAACCCCTCTGGCTGCCGCACAACGCTCTCCTCTGCGTCCTTTTTCATACTAGTGGAACCCTGGGCACAGCCTGCATATGGATCAAAAGGGGAGTGGCTATAAATATACTATGGTCCATCTCCAGGCTAGACTGTGATGCAATGGTTAAAGTCAAGTAATGCAGAAGAGTAATTAAGCATTCGTGCTCCAAAGCCATATGGCCTAGGTTTAAATCCCAGCTTTGCCACTTACTTGCTGTGTGATCTTGTGCAACTCACTTAGCCTTTCTGTGTCACAGTTTCTCCATCTGTATAATGCATGATAACACTAGCCCCTACCTCATAGGGTCATTGTGAAGATTAAATGAAATTAATATTGCGTATATCACAGAGTGGTCCTCCTCAAAAGTTATTTATTACATGAAAATTTATTAGATGAAAAAAGAAATTTCTAGAAATTATCTATCTACATACATATTCAGATGGGATTTGTGTAAAGAATTTAACCAACAAACCCAAATTACACACACGTGCGCGCACACACACACGTGCGTAGAAGTAGAAATAGGAAGATCCATGACACACATGTGAGGCAGGTGGAATGGGGACATTAAAAGGAGGACTTCCACATTGAATTCTGAATGGTTTGACTGTTTTATTTGTGCAATTAAAAAAAAAATCAAAGCAATAAATCCCTGTAAAAGAAACCTGCCAGGTTTTGAGTCTCACCATTCTACCCTGGGCTCACCCTTCTCTCTCACTGAATCTCAGGTGTCTTCGAGATCATTTAGTTTAGAAGAAGAAGAAATGTCCCTGGACCCCACCAGTTGAACACCAATGCTCGGTGGGTTGGGGTCTTGTCCTTGCTAGCTCCTCCCGCCTGCTCAGAGTGCGCCCTCTGGTGGTGATACCTCGCAGTACTGCGCGCCTGCAGGACGTGTGGGGAAGGCGAAAAGCTTTCCTGATTCTTCCAGGGGCTCAGCCCAGGAGCCCTGGGCTTTGACTCTGGGTCTGGTGCTAGTGGTGGTGCCAAATCTCTGTCCCTTGTCGAGGAAGAAAATTTTCTATTTGTTTTTAAGTTGTCTCTAGCTAGGGTTGTCAGATTTAGCAACTAAAATCACAGGATGCCTGCTTAAATTTGAATTTTAGAGAAATCACAAGTAACTTTTAGTATGAGTATGTTGCATGGTATCTACTAATTTTACACAGCTTATACTTATATTAAACAAAATTATTTGTGGTTTCTCTCAGGCTTAAATTCCACTGGGTGCCTGTGTCTCATCGGTGACTATGGGAGGAGATCTGTTGGGAAGCGGGTAGGGGAGGTGGTGAGAAAGGAAGGGAGAAGGCCTGGGTACGGTGTGTGATGGAAAGGCACGATGGTTCCGGTGAGTCTTTGGTTGCAGGAGACTGTAAATGGCATCTGCTCTCCAGGCAGCTGGAGCTGTCAGGCTGTAGAACAATGCTGTTCAGCCCTGGGAGCTTTGAAAACCTGATGTGCGGGTCTGATTCCCACAGATTCTGATGCCATTGGTTTGGTGGCATTGGGGTGAGGGTAGGCTCTGGCATTTTTAAAACTCCCAGGCAATTCAAAAGTGCAGCCAAGATTGAGGACCACTACTCTAGAGGATCTGGGGTGTGTGCATGTGTGCGTGTGTGTGTGCATGTGCGTGTGTGCACCCACTCGTGTGTATGCCAGATGCCTTCAGCTTGCGTACTGCCAAGTTCACCAGTCTGGGGTCCTTCCCGAGAGCCTCCCAGTCCACATGTTATGGAAAAGCTTTGGGCCCTTTCCAAGATGTTTCTAGATTCCCCCAGGGCTTGTATTTTACTGGTCATCCCTGGCTCTGATTTCCTGTTCACACTGAGCCCTCCATCTCATTCCTTTCCTCCCCCTGGGACTTCTTTTTCTTTCTGCCTGTCAACTTAATGCTGGTCTTTCAATGACCACCAGCAGCACACAGCTGTCAAGTTTAGCAGATGTTTCCTGCAGGTCTGCAGTTAACAAGAGGTGTCATCCCCAAAGTAAATGATTCCACACTGAAGTCCCCATCTGGGCGGGGTACTCCTGCTAGGAGGAATTTATCACTGGCCTGTTTCCTCCTCCAATTCCCTCTGCCTCATTGGTACTTCCAGGCCCTCTCACTCTCTTTCAGAAATCACTTTGTCCACTCCCAAAAAAAACAAAGAAATAAAAACAGAAACAAACCCTTCTTCCTCTAGCAGTCAGCATGCAGCTGCTGATCAAGTTCCAAATTGCAGTCCCTTTCTTAATCAGAACAGTTCAACTCATTTTTCCTATACCGCTCCTATGTGTACAGGTATTTCCGAGAGTGATGCACGCTCCCTGGGAAGCATTGGGAATTCTGCACTTCTGGGCAAGCCAGCTCCAACTGCAGCCAATGTTTTAAAAATAGCATCTCTCCCTTCTTTCTATATGTACAAATCTTCAGGGATTTAGCAAATTCTCTTAAATAGCTAGAAGACCTTGCTGACTTCGATGCAAATATTCTGGCCAGAGAACTGAGGTCCTTGGATGAAACCCAATAATCAGAGGGGTCACAGTTTCCTTAGCCCGGGAGGAAGGCAGCTGGTGTCTCAGCAGATGTTCCTAAAGGCCTGGCTTTTTCCACATCTGTTCTGTGTGGTGGAGGAGAAGAGGAAGGGAGGAAGGGAACAGAGAGGAAACAGAGAGAGCTGAAGATTAACACAATACTGTACAGGTCCCCGCTAAAGACGGACTCTCTGGCCGCCAGAAAAGGACTGAGAGATAAATAGAAGGAGCAAAATCTCGTGAGCATAAGAACCTGGGAACTGGAGGCTGGTTCACCCTCCCTCAGCTTCCAGGACCCAGAGGGAGGCAGGCACAGCCAGCCTTGGCCCTGTGGAATCAACACCTTCCAGCCAGGCTGCCAGAAAGCCAAATTCCAAATGTCTAACTGTATTTTGCACTTTTCCACAAGGTGACCTGCAGCTACTCTGATGGCCTCTAGGATTCCGTAGGGTACTGTGCAGTCCAGAAAACTTGACTTTCCAATTCTTCCCACTTAGCCAGCTGCCATTTTCCTTCCCTCCTAACCGCTTTCCTTCCTATCCTTTTTCCTCTATATGTCCCCCCTTGTTTTAAAAGTTCAACATGAAACTTTACTCTGTACACTTATCAGTTTAGCAAAAATTAGAAAGTCAGCTAATGCCAAGTGTTGGCTGGAGTGTCGGGGAAAGAGGAACCCTTGTTCTTTGCCAGGGAGTATGAGAAGGTGCAGCCACTCTGGAGAGCTGTCTGGCAGGGGCGTTGGCCACTCAGGTGCCCATTCCTGGGGAAGATAGAAGTAAATGTGGTGGGTGCACACCTTGGAGAAGCATCTATCAGTCAGAAGCAAGGGAGGAAATGTCTACACAGATTTAGGTAACTTACGTTAGATACTATGTTCAAATTCAAGGATGAATGTCAGAGCACATAAAGGCTGCCTGTGGGGGAAGGGACTGCAATTGGAGAATGGGGATTGTAGTGGATTGAAGATGGTCCCAAATTCCTTGATGCTACCTGCATGGAGAGGTGAGGTGGGGTGACTGCTTGACCAATAGAATACAGCAGAAGTGGTGCTTGTCAGTTTCTGGGCCTGGGCCTTAACAGGGTGGCAGTTCACCTTGCCTGTCTTAGGACACTCTCTCTGGGAGCTTGAAATTGCCATGTAATCAACTGCCCTAATACCACCAGGTTGGAGAAGCCATGTTCGGGAGCTCTGGCTGGTGGTCCCAGCTAAGCCCAGCCTTGCAGCCAGCCCCCACCAGCCAATGTCACCAGACATGTAAGTGAAGCCATCCTGGGATCTCTAGACCAGCCCAGCACACCTACAGGATGATTACCATGGAGTGACCTCAGTTGGTGCCACATTCATCAAGAGAATCAACCAGCTGAGTCACGCAAATCCCAAATCCACACAATTGAAATATGATAAAGTATCTAACTTTGGGGGTATATATTAGCCTGTTTTCATGCTGCTGATAAAGGCATACCTGAGACTGGGAAGAAAAAGAGGTTTAATGGATTTATAGTTCCACGTGGCTGGGGAGGTCGCATAATCATGGTGGAAGGTGAGGAGGAGCAAGTCACATCTTACATGGATGATGGTAGGCAAACAGAGAACTTGTGCAGGGGAACTCCTCTTTATAAAAACCATCAGATCTCATAAGACTTATTCACTATTATGAGAACAGCACAAGAAAGACCCACCCCCATGATTCAATTACCTCCCACTGGGTCCCTCTTATGACATGTGCGAATTGTGAGAATTACAATTCAAGATGAGATTTGAGTGGGGACACAGCTAAACCATATCATTCCGCCCCTGGACCCTCCCAAATCTCACGTCCTCACATTTCAAAACCAATCATGCCTTCCCAACAGTCCCCCAAAGTCTTAACTCATTTCAGCATTAACTCAAAAGTCCACAGTCTAAAGTCTCATCTGAGAAAAGGCAAGTCCCTGCCACCTATAAGCCTGTAAAATCAAAAGCAAATTAGTTACTTCCTAGATACAACGAGGGTACAGGCATTGGGTAAATACAGCCATTTCAAATGGGAGAAATTGGCCAAAACAAAGGGGCTACAGGCTCCATGCAAGTCTGAAATCCAGTGGGGCAGTCGAATCCTAAAGTTCCAAAATGATCTCCTTTGACTTCATGTCTCACATCCAGGTCATGCTGATGTAAGAGGTGGGTTCCCATGGTCTTGGGCAGCTCTGCCCCTGTGGCTTTGCAGGGTATAGCCTTCCTCCTGGCTACTTTCATGGGCTGTTGTTGAGTGCCTGCAGCCTTTCCAGGAGTATGGTGCAAGCTGTTGGTAGATCTACCATTCTGGGGTCTGGAGGACTGTGGCCCTCTTCTCACAGCTCTACTAGGCGGAGACCCAGTAGGGACTCTGTGTGGGGCTCTGACCCCACATTTCCCTTCTGCACTGCCCTAGCAGAGGTTCTCCATAAGAGCCCCGCCTTTTCAGCAAACTTCTACCTGGAGGCATTTCCACACATCCCCTGAAATCTAGGCGGAGGTTCCCAAACCTCAGTTCTTGACTTCTCTGCACCTACAGGCTCAATACCACATAGAAGCTGCCAAGGCTTGGGGCTTCCACCCTCTGAAGCAACAGCCTGAGCTGTACCTTGGCCCTTTTAGTCATGGCTGGATCAGCTGGGACACAGGGCATCAAGTCCCTGGCCTGCACACAGCAGAGGGACCCTGGCTTGGGCCTGGCCCACCAAACCATTTTTTCCTCTTAAACCTCTGGGCCTATGATGAGAGGGGCTGCCACAAAGGTCTCTGACATGCCCTAGAGACATTTTCTCCATTTTCTTGGTGATTAACATTCGGGTCCTGTTTGTTACTTATGCAAATAAATTTCTGCAGCCAACTTGAATTTCTCCTCAGAAAATGGGATTTTATTTTCTATTGCATTGTCAGGCTGTAAATTTTCCACACTTTTATGCTCTATTTCCCTTTTAAAACTAAATGCCTTTAACAGCACCCAAGCACCTCTTGAATGCTTTGCTGCTTAGAAGTTTCTTCTGCCAGATACCCTAAATCATCTCTCTCAAGTTCAAAGTTCCACAAATCTCTATGGTAGGGTCAAAATGCCACCAGTCTCTTTGCTAAAACATAACAAGAATCACCTTTGCTCCAGTTCCCAACAAGTTCCTCATCTCCATCTAAGACCACCTCAGCCTGGATTTATTGTCCATATCATTATTAGCATTTTGGTCAAAGCCATTCAACAAGTCTCTAGGAAGTTCCAAACTTTCCCATATTTTCCTGTCTTTTTCTGAGCCCTCCAAACTGTTCCAATCTCTGCCTGTTACCCAGTTCCAAAGTTGCTTCCACGTTTTCAGGTACCTTTTCAGCAGCACCCCACTTCACCGGTACCAATTTACTATTTTAGTCCCTTTTCACACTACAGATAAAGAATATCTGAGACTGCGCAGTTTACAAAAGAAAGAGGTTTAATGGACTTACAGTTCCACATGGCTGGGGAGGCCTTGTCAAGCAATAGAGAGTCAGAATGGGAAGAAAAGGCAGTAAATAATGAGAGGCCTCACGCTGAGCAGTGATGAGGCTTAGTAGCATAGAAGTGTACAGAGCAGTCTGCTTCTTGCACCAGGGTCCCAGGAACTGGGCCGTTCTGTCACTCCTCTGGGCAAGAAAGAAAGTCCCCAGTGCAATTCATGCAGTCCAAGTCCCATGGTGGAGAGGCAGAGCAGTCTTTGAGAATAACCAGAGTAGGTACTGCAGAGCTGACAAGCAGCAGGAGATAACTGATCCTTTTATCTATTAGTCCCACAGCCCAGAAGTGCCACATACCCCGTGGTATTGTCAATTCAGCCACCATTAAAATTGATGTAGAAATATTAATATGTTGTCAGGGTTAAAATAATTTCAGATTAAAAATATGTTAAAATATTATTACTAAGTAAGAGATAGCAAAAGTGGCTCAATTGAATTAAAATTGATCAATATTTGATAAATACCCATTATATTCCAGGCATAGTACCAGCATCAGGGATAGAGATAAAGTAAGAAACAGTCTTGTCTCTGGGGAAAGGCAAAGATTAAAGTTAAACAATAAACTTACACTCACCTTGTGCCACAGAACACTTCATGGACTTGGAGTTTCTGTAGCCTTCTTGATGATAATATGATAACCTGATGCTAATATAATATATATTTAAATTTTTAGTGTTTTTTTTTCCCAGGGTGAAATCTACTTATATATTATCCTTCTTCCAAAGCAGCATTTTGAAGAATAATGGTTGCTATCAGCATTTTTTAGATAATTAAATTACTAGAACATCAGGAATTTTTTTCCCTAAAATTTCTTCACAGAAAAAAATTATTGTCAAAATTCAATACCTCTGAATTAGTTGAGAGAAAAAAGATATTAGTAGAGCATAAGTTCTATTTTTTAAGTGTGTTAATTTAGATCCTACCTTGTTCCAAAAATAATTTGGGATGGCTTACACAAATGCATACCACATGAAGAAAAAGAAAATTTGATATAGAAATCAAGACAAAAGAAAATAGGAAAGAAAAGGAAATAAAAGGCATCCACATCAGAATAGAAGTAAGCTATCCATACTTGCAGATTAAAAAAAACTAAGGAATGCACTAGAAAACTATTAGAACTAATAAATGAGCTCAACAAGGTTGCAGGATACAACATTAAAATACAAAAATTAATTGTATTTTGATACAGCAGTAATGAGTAAAAGAAAAACAAAATTTAAAAAACTTCAATTTGCAATAATAGCATTAAAAACAATAAAACACTAAGAAAATACTTAACAAAAGAAAAGCAAAACTTATACTCTGAAAGCTACAAAACATTGTTGATTGAATTAAACAAGACCTAAAAAAATGGAAAGACCTAAAAAAATGGAAAGACATCTTATGTTCATGGACTGGAAGGCTTAATATTGCTAACATGGTACCATGAATTGAATTGTGATCCCCAAAAAGATGTTGAAGTCAGTCTTAACTCCTAGTACTTGTGAAGGTAATCTTATTGGATATAGGATCTTTGCAGCTGATCAAGTGAAGATGAGGTCATTAAAGTGGGCTCCAATCCAGTAAACTGGTGAAAGGGGAAACTCAGACAGACAGACAGACATGCACGCAGGGAGAATACCATGCAAAGATGAAGGCAGAGATTGGGTTGATACATCTAAAAGCCAGGGAACACCAAATACTGCCAGTAAAGCATCAGAAGATAAAGGAGAACGGCATGGAACAGATTCTCCCTCACATTGCTCAACTGTACCAACACCTTGACCTGGCAATTCTAGGCTCCAGAACTTTAAATAAGAATAATATTTTAAACAACAATATTTTAAAAAGAATAATATTTTGTTGTTTAAGTCAACCAGTTTGTGATACTTCATTATGGCTACCCTTGCAAACTAATACAGATAGTGATATTCCCAAAACTGATCTATTGATTCAAAATAATCACTATCAAAATCTCAGTTAGCTTCTTTGCAGAAATTGACAAACTGATCCTAAAATTCATATGGAAATGCCAGGGACCTCAAGTAGTTGAAACAATTTTGAAAAATAAGGACAAGATTGGAAGACTCATACTTCTTGATTTCAAAACTTACTGCAAAGCTATAGCAATCAAGACGGGGTAATAATGTCGTAAGGACAGACATACAGATCAATTGAATAGAATTGAGACTCCAGAAATAAACCCTCAAATTTATAGTCAACTGATTTTTTACAAACTTGCTAAGATAATTAAATGTAGAAAGAAGAATATTTTCAACATATGGTATTGAGATAGCTAGATATCCACATCCAAAAGAATAAAGTTAGACCCCTACCTCACGCCTTACGTAAATACCCCTAAAGTGGGAGAGCAAAATAAGCTTATCATCATCAAGATGCCAAAGCTGGTAAGAAGGATGTGCAGCCAGGCACAGTGGCTCATGCCTGTAATCTCAGAAGTTTGGGAGATTGAATCGAGCGAATAACAAGCTCAGGAGTTTGAGACCAGCTTGGCCAAAACTGGTGAAACCCCATATCTACTAAAAATAAAAAAAAAATTAGCTGGGCATAGTGGTGGGCGTCTGTAATCCCAGCTACTTGGGAGGCTGAGACACAAGAATTGCTTGAACCTGGGAGGCGGAGATTGCAGTGAGCCAAGATCGCACCACTGCACTCCAACCTGGGCAAGAGAGTGAGACTCTGTCTCAAAAACAAACAAACAAACAACAACAACAACAACAACAAAAACCCAGGGGATGCAAGGAATGAAAGAAGGCAAAGATGAAATCAAACCATTGATTTAAAAAAAATAATTTGCAAAGTTTCAATTTACAGAAAAATTGCAAAGACAATACAGATGCCTTCCCACATGTCCCACTATTAAAATCTTGTATTATTATCATACATGTGTCACAATTAATGAACGAACGTTGGTACATCTTAGGAATTAATGTTAATTCAGAATTCCTGAGTATTCCCCTCATGTCCTTTTTCTGTTTCAGGATCCCATCTAGATTCCACACCACATTTTGTCACCATGTCTCCT